AGCTCACGCTGTTCCTGATCAAAGAAACCCTTTATCTTAGGCCTCCAGTGTTAGACAGAGTTCGAGGTGCTGAGAGTCCTCTCCGGTGACCCTTCTCTGGGGCGTCACCGCAGGCAGCAGAAGAGAAATCAGCATCTCTCTGGAGTACAAGAGGCCTTGAAGATGTCCCCAGCCTTTGACCTCAGGCGTGTGGGTGAAGATTTCAGCACACAGAAAGGTGTGCCCTGGGGCGCTGGGGAAAGAACCAGTTCATAAACTTCAGGTGGACGGTCCTACCAGAACCCAGCCCGTCACTGTGAGGGTCTAAAAGACGAAGAGGAGCACACGGTCGTACGCTAAGGGGAAAGGGTGATGACGGCGACATAGGCACAAATGTGCTTGAATCATTCGATGTACGCATCGTTGAGACCCCAATAAAATGATTTTTTAAAATAATCCCTCCCCAAATACAGCATGTACCCAATTTGTTGAAAACAATAGTGAATATGCATAGAAAAAAACATGGGATGCTATCAGCGCTTTTCTTTGGGCATAAAGTAATTTTGTTTTCATTTCCACATTTCCCTGTCATCCTGAGAGTTAGTGCTCTAATCAGGTCGGTGACTTGGAAAACAACAAGCCAAAGCGGTGTCAAGGTGGTCTGCAGAGGGCGCTGGGATTCTCGGTGCGGTGGCTCGGCGGTGTGGGAGGAGAAGGCCACGGGCCGCAAGGGACCCGGTAGTGAGGGCGGGGGAGGGGGGGTCCTGCTTCCAGCTCCTGCTCGGGACGCTCCTCTGCCGCGCACCCGGCCGCCTGCCCGGGCCGGCTCGGACGTCACTTCCGGCCACTCCTCCGCAGCGTGCACCTCGTCTACCGCTCCACGCTGCCTGACGTAGATCCGTTTGCAGGCCTGCCAGGGCCTCAGTTTCTCCTCTGCACTGCGACTGGACGACGGAAGGCTGTCTGCGCTCTCCCCGGTCTGCATGCAATGCCGAAGGAAGCCACACGAGGTCCACAGAGCCACACTGGTGACTTCCAGCCACCGGCTAAACCCCAGCCCCAACCCCAACAAAAAGCAGCCCATCAAAACCAAACACTGCCTTCCAGTCGATGCCAGCTCACAGCGACCCTGGTGGGCGGGGTAGAGCTGCCCCTGGGGTTTCCGAGACAAACTCTTCACAGGAGCAGAAAGCCCTTCGAACTGCCCAGGGCTCCCAGGTGGGTTCTGTTCCGGAATCCAGAGATGATAGGGGCCGGCAATCGGCCCCTGCTCTGCCACACACATGAAGTGGCATGGCATCTGGCCGCCCACCATTTCCTGCAGACTCTGGTTGAGGATGATGTTTACCATGCTGTTTTCAGCGGATGGTGTAAGTTCTGAAAATAATCTATCGGGCCCACGAGGGTGAGAGGGGACAAAGAAAATGTTTGGAAAATGATGGCAACATAAGTACAAATGTGTTTGATACAGTTAATGTGTGCATTGTTATAAAAGCTATAAGAGCCTCCAATAAAATGATTTATTAATTAACAAACATGCTGGTTCCCCCCTGGTCACCACTGCATCTCAGTTTGATTCTCACTGTTTTTCAAATGGAACTTAAAAACGCAGATTAAAAACTCCCCCGGGGAAGAAGCCAGAAATTTAGAGGTGACCCCCAGAAACCTTTCCGCCTTCCCTTTCAGGAAGTCCCTGTCACAAAGCCCTGGCCCTGCCCTCAACCCAGCGGTCTGGTTGGGTCCAGGGACATTTCCGGACACCAGGGCCAAGTGTGAGCTTGGTCCTTCTTGGGGCACCTGCCTTCCACAGAACCGCTGCTGCTTGGGCAAGGGGAGCCCCTGGGGTTGCTGCGAGGGTGTGGGGGTGCGAGGGGTGCATGCTGGAGGTTGGGTGCTGCAGCCAAGGGCTGAATGCCGAGGCGGGTAGAGGGGCAGGGGCCAAAGCAGAGGCAGCACTCCTCCAGGCCTGGATCCCTATCCATTGCCTGGAGTTTGCATCCTGGGGCGGTGTCGCCACGGGCAGGACCTGAGGCCGGAGGCAGGGCGCCAAGCCCCCCTCCAGAGCAGGCTCCCTGACATGCTGGGGGAGCCTCTGCTTCCTCAGGTTTGTGTGTGTCTCATGATGTGCTCATGATGACGGCCCCAGGGCAAACAAATGAGATTGTGGGTCCAAGTTGTGTCGCTGTGGGTTCCAATGAGGAAGCAGGACAACTCCCCTCTTCCTGTAAGAACCCACCTTGGGGGATGGCGTCAGAACCTCGGCCTTGAAGGGCTGTGATGTAAAGAAACGCAGCATGCTTGCTCAATGAGGGAACGTGTATACTAAATGTCTCCTGTCAACGCACATTCCTGCAGCATTTACCACCGGGATTAAAATGTTACACAAATGCGCGGGGCTGATACCAGGGCCCTGGGTGGGGCGTGGGAGTGGCACAGAGGGCTGGTGCCTGTGTCTCTCTGGGTTCTGGAAGGCGTGAACCGTACTGGCCCCTCTGGACAATGGCCCCGTTGCTCTTTGATGGCAATTGCTCCTGTTGTGTGAAGAGCCAGAAGTGGCCGTGAGCTGGCCGGTGCCCGGTCTAGCCAGGACCCTGTGTGGGCAGCCTGGGCCAACTCCAGGTACCAATGCGAACTCTGCGGGGCTTTTGCAAGTACTGCCCCCATGGTCAGGGAGGCTAGCTGCTCGGGCTAGGCTCCTGGCAAATGCGACACGAGCCATGTTTCAGACATGGGCAGACCATGTGGTCAAAGCTGGGTCCACCTGCTGTCCAGGGCTGTCCTCCTGCTCACATGTTGACTCCTAAGGGCACACCAGGCCAGAGCAGCCCAGGGCTTGAACACATGACTCGGCTCCCAGGAGCTCAGTCTGCTGAAGGCCGGAGCCTTTCCCACAACTTCCCTCTGCAGCAAAGGCTGCTTTGCTTGCTCAGAGAGCCTCTCTCTCTAGGAGAGGCTGTTACATTTGCCAGATTCTTCTATGACCTCACAGGCACCACACAAGCCCAGGTCAAGAGGCAGGTGGGCCCCCACAAAGCCTTTATTTCTGCGGATGCCATCTTGTCTGGGAACTGCCGACCGGGCTGACTCCTCGGCATTCAAGGACAGAGGCGCTGAAGTGGCCGGGACGTCTGGCCAATGAGGAGCCCCGGGGACAGCGGCCGCGGCTTGGCAGTGAGGCCCTCGAGTGGCTGCAGGTTGTGTTCCAAGACAGAAGGCGGAGGGTGAGATATTGTGTGGCCATGAGTCTTTTCTTTGCCTCAAAGAAACCCAGCTCCACTTCCCCCGCCCCCCACCCCATTAATTGGCAGCAGATGAAAAAAAGAAAGCAAGCAAGCCAAAACAAAGCCCCGAACCGATGGCAGTCAGCTGGATGTGAGTGTTTCTGAAAGGGAGAAGCAGCTTCAATTGTTCGGGGTCCAAGAAAGCACCAACGCCCGCGGACAGAGGAAACCGCCACAATGGGCGGAAGGGGAGGGAGAGGCCCATAAATCCAGGGGAAAATCCTCCCGCAGCTCCCATCCTGTGAGCAGCTCCTCCGCTGGCAGCCAGGCCTGGCCCTGGGCCTCTCCTGGAAACGTGGGAGATAAAGGACAGGGAAGGAGGGCGGCCCAGGCCAGAGGGCAGTGGGGGCCACAGGTCTGCAGGGAGGTTTGCCTCCAGAGAAGGGGTGTGCAGCTGCTCCCGGCCCGCCTCCAGGGTGGTGGTGATGGTGTGTGTGTTTGTGTGTGTACACACATGAAGGTGGGATCAGTCTGCTTGTGGGTGGGTTCAGACATGTGACATCGCCCTTCCCGCAGACACCCCCTCCCACCCCCCGCCCCTGCCCTGGCACCTCTGTTCTGACCAAGTGTCAACTCCTCACTCATTTTTACGCTCACAAAAGGAGGGCATGAGTCACCCCAGGTATCCTTGCCACAGATGATGTTTTGGGAACGCGATACAGGCCAGAGGTCAGGATGGGCTTCTCTGGATACTAGAGGGCCAGGGCCAGGTGGACAGAGCGCAAGCCCCTCTGCCCCACAGGCCTGTTGGGCTCAAAATCCAGGGCCAGGGAAGTGGACCCAGCCTGAGCTACAGCCAAGGGGACACTGCTGACCGGAAACCACTTCAAGAGGAGCAGCGTCTGGTCCTGTCCTGCCCAGACTTGACAGGTGACCGGGTGACTCCCCTCCCTCTTGGGACCTGCATCTCCACATCCTAACAGTGAGACTAGCTGCTCTCAGGTCAGGCCCAGGCCTGTGGGAGCTCTGACCCAATTCCCACGTGTGCAGGGCTCGCCCCTGAACTTCCGGGCTGTTCAGACCAGCCGGGCGGCGGGTGGGTGGGCAGGCAGGACGCCGGTGCGAGGATCGGCTCCGGGTCCCTCAGAGTTTGAGAGATGAGAGCTGCACCCTCCTGCTGCTGCGTTTGATGCTCTGTTTCTTCCATCCACACTGGGGTGGGATAAGGACGGGAAAGTGAGGGACTGGACTTCACCACCCTGTTAGACTTGGCTGGCTTCGAGGGGAGACCGCTGGCCTTTGGAGGGCAGGGGCAGACAGAGGAGGTGCATGCACACACGTGCAGTTGGTTTCTGTGTGGTAGCCCTGGGCATGACCTATAGGGCTCCAGGGGGCACAGAGCAGCGGGCAGCCAGCACAAGGCCTGTTGTGTCCACTGATCTCGGCATGGCACCTCCTCTCGGGTTCCCCTCCCCACAGCCTCCCAGCACAGGGCAGGGCCAGAGAGGAAAGCCTGTGTTGTGCACCAGAGGGCTGGTTACGTGACTGCACCCAAGAACCCTGGCTGCACCTCCCTGCAGGCGGACCCCCCGGCCGTGGCCCCACTGCCCAGCCCCTCCCAGGGATGACACACACTGGTGCCCAAGCCCAGGCCCAGTTGGGGGACGGTCACATCCTGCCCCTGCCCCCGTCCCATACCGGTCAGAAGACAATCTGCCCTGGGCCTGAGACCAGCAAGTCAGCAGCTGCCCCTCAGGGACCCTTTGTTGAGTGTGTCTATGTAAAGAAAGGATAAGAATCTGTATTAAATGCCTATTTTATTTACACACCCTATTCATAAATAATCGAACCCTTTTCTTGACTGCACAATGATTCCTGGAAGATCTCCTACCGATTACATTGAGGGACTACAAGAAGACTGAGGGTTTATCACACCTCCTGTGCCCCGGTCCTTTCACGTGCTCACTCCCACGATGGACACACACGCGCACATGCACACGGGGAGGGCCCGGGCTCCCTCAGCACCAGCAGCTGGCTCTGGGGGGTCTGCAGGCGCTGGTGGGAAGCTCTGCCCACGCACAGGTGTGCCATGGTGACAGCCGGAGAACAAAGAGACACAACCAGGCACTCCTGCCCCCCGAGCTGCTCTGCCTCTGTGCACCCGGGAGGCCTCTCTTTGGATTTGCAAATGTTTTAATTCACAGAGAACTCAAGGAGGGGCTGGGTAGGGCTGAGTGGTGCGTTCACCATCGTCTCTGTCTTGGTCCCGGCCTTCGCCAGCCCCAGGCGTGGCAGCATTAGAGACATGCAGTGGTGGGCTAGTACCGTACACAGGACAGACTGGACATGCTGGCCAGGGCTGGGGAGCACCCTTCCCCGAGTCTCGAGCTCTGTCCAAGCAGGCGGGGCTGGTCTGCTCACAGGGTCCGCACGGCCACGGGGTAGAGCAGGGACAGGTGCTCGGCCCCTTTGATGGGCAGCTTCCGGGTGGTGTAGTAATGGATGACTTCCGGGACACTGTCGAACGGGGGGCTGTTCTGACCCAGAACGTACTTCTCTTTGGTTTGGGCCAGTTTCATGTGCATAAAACCCTGGTTGCTCCTGTGAACAGAACACAAAGATCCACTGAGACGTGCGGGATGGCAGAGACCCAGACGCCACAGTGACGTGGGGCCAGCTGACAGGCAGGGGACATGGCCTCAGCGAGCCGCCCGATGTGGCTTTGACCAAGGCTGTACTGTGTGCTCACTCCCAGCCCCACTCCACCGGCACAGGCAAAGCTTCTGCAGCGGCTGGTGCTTGGGGCAGAGTGGCACTTCCACATCAGGACCAAGACCTGGGTCAGCTGAACAGATGCGCCAAAGGGCCCTGCAGTTTCCAGGGTTCCGGCAGGGAGGAGCCTCCTGGGCTTCCTGAGGGAAGAACCAGCCACCTGCTCCAGCTGCTGGAGCTGTGCCTGGAAGGTGTGGTGCACCCACAACGCTGTGACAAACGGGCAGAGCAGGGCCACCGCCACGCTGCAGATAAGGATACAGGATGCAAAGGACGGGAGGCGAGCTGCCCTCCCAAACCAGATGCACCTGCTTCCATAGTATGGAGGGGCCACAGGAACTACAGGCCAGCCACTCAGGGACACTTCCCAGCCTCCCTTGCAGCCAGTGCAGCTACATGACTAGTTTTGACCAATGGGATGTGGGCACTTTCCCAGCTATGCTCCACCACAGGCTCTCTTGCCCCTGCATGCTTCCCTTCCGGCTCAGGGAACCCAGCCTCTGTGTTTCCTCTGCTGGAAGTGTCCCAGGACTCCCGTGGCAGCGCCCCTTCAGAATTGTAATGACTTGTCCATCTTCCCAGTTCTGACAGCTCCCCAGGCTGGCATTGGGCCCGGCCGGGAGATTGCTGGGCGCATGCACAGGAGGCAGCGCTGGCCCTGCCTCAGCATTGGGGACTGCCTTTCCTCCTGCCAGACCCAGAGGACCCCTCTCACCAACACCCACCTTTGCCTAAGCTGCTCTGTGCCTGTTCACTCAGCCCCACCATAGTCTCACTCGCTGACATTCGGTATTGCGTGTAAACGGAGGATGATCACAGCAGGTCACCACCGGAAGATGACTGCACCATGCCATCCTATCCATGTACCACTGCCAGAGCACCGAAAATCCTGGCCTGGACAGGTGATGCCCAACCTTGGCCACCAGTCCCCTCACTTCAGACACATGCTGGGAACACACACGTGGCAGATGGTTATCGCTGCCGAAGATCGAACGTCAACTAACAGGATGGTTGGTGTGCCAGGCAGGATGGGGTGTCCTGCTCGAGCTGGGATTTTGCCGCAATGCCTCAAATGTCAAGCTCGATCCAGTTCATTAGTGCTGGTCACTGAGGACCCCCTGCCCCCGTCCCAGCATCTGTCCTTGGGCTTCCGAGGGCTCAGCACATAGTGAACGGCCTGCAGTCTGAGCCTGAGGCCCCATCCTGCCGCTGCTGCTGCTCCGGTGAGGGGTGTGGCCGCTTGGACACACTGCTCCCATCGGGCCGGGCTCCCTGAGCTTCCCTCACCCCACCGCCCCGCACTGGCTCTATTGATGCGTTAATTTGGACTCCAGGACCATTTCCAAATGGGCAGAACAGACGCTTAATGAAGTGCAGGCACGGAGCAATACATCTGCTCATAATAATGTATTTAGAGATGTCACCCTTGGCTTAAAGGAAATCGTTTGGAGAGCAATTATGTTTCAAGAGAGAATAATTCCTGTAAAGTATTGAAATTTAAATCAAGATTTTTTAAGGCTGGCCATGTTCTAATTACAGAGCCCATGGCAAGTTCTGCGCCTAGCAAAGGGTCATTTCATGGGAAGATTACTTCGCCACCACTGCCGCCGCCGCATACTTGCTCAGGTTGCGCTCAGGGAAAACTGACACCCACTGAGTGGAGACCCCCTGACCCATGCTGGGGAGCGTGCAGTCTGCACTGGCTCGGGAGGGGCTCTGACGGAGGCACCGCTGGAGACCCCTGGACTGTCAAGAGCAGAGCTCTGCTTCACATGGCTTCTGGGAAGGAGGTCACCAGGCCTTTCTTCTGAGGCACCCCTGGGTGAACCAGAACCCCTGACCTTTCTGTTAGCCCTGAGCTCGCAGGCCAATGGCAGGAGCCGTGAAGGCTGTTCTTGGAGGCTCCGGGACCTGGTGTGCCCGGGATGGCGAGTCCGGGAGTGAGAACGCACTAGAATGGATCCCGAGTGTGACTCACAGCTCGGGCAGCCAGGCCAGTGTGACCGGCACATCACTCCCCTGTGAGCGTCCTGCCCTGCGTCGTGGTTTTCACGGTTCTGTGGCTGGGTGGGCACTGTGACAGGAGGTTCCTGCCAGCACCGCAGGCTAGAGGCTGGGGAGGGCGGATTTCATGTGTAAGGGGGTTAGAGAAAACAACTCACACAGGTTAGTGAAGGCAAGTTTTCCATGCGATTTAGTTCTTTTAAAACATTCAGCAAGGAGAGCGGGCAGTGATGGGCAGGGCCCGGGCTGTGGCTGTACTCGACCTCCGTCTTGGCAGCACAGGTCAGGTAGGGTTGCTCCTGTTCTTCCCCAACCCCCGACTCCAGTGCTTACCTCTCCCAGCTGCACCCAGGGACCAGGCCTGTGGGGAAGGCTGGAGACCAAGGCAGAGCTGGGACCAGAACCAGGGTCCTGGAAGCCCCTTCCCTCTTGGGTTCAAGCATTGCTTCTGTGGGCTTCTGTGTCCCTACACTGCAGTCCCTACACTGTGGACCAGCAGCTGGATGGCCCCTGAGGCCCAGGACCCAAGTTCTGGTTCCAGCTCTGGGGCCCATGCTCAGGACCCAGGCCTCCTGTCTCCGAGGCTGCCCCTCCCCTCCCCATAGCACCCACCTGGCAGGCCCACCAGAAGGCGACCCCAGGAGTCAGTGGTCCTGGTGGCAGGTGTGGAAACCCTGTCACACAGGCCATGGGTTTCTAAGACCCTGCCAACCCTCAGCCAGTGTGACGGCCAGCAGAGCTCTGTTAGCAGACACCCCCAACACACACACCACTGGCTGCAAGGCCTCGTGAGTAGGAATGGCTGTGGTGACTCTGCCCCAACTCAGAAAGTGCCCTGCAGCAGGAAGGTGAGAGGCATCGCTTCTCTGGAGACGGGGGTGGGCGCTAGAGCTGCCCTGCTGGGGTGTGTTTGGAGTGACAAGATGGGGACCACCCTGTGTAGCCACCTGGTGTCCCTGGGAGGGAATTGAGGCCAGAGGGAGGACCACCCTGGCCCAGGGCACATAGTGGCAGTCAACCTAGGGTCCGTGCGTCTGGGGCTGGGTGGGCCTCAGATGCCCCCAGCCCAGGCAGCCTATGCAGCACCAGTGACGTTATCACTTCTGGGAGGGAAGGCCTCAGTCCCTGGGGAGCTCCGACAGGCGTGTCAGCCCATCACCTTGCAACCTTGGATAGGGCATCTCGTGAGAGCACAGTCACAATCAGGGGGTGCCTCTGGCAGTGTCCTGTCTCAGGGCTCTTGTTTGGCGGCAGAAGCCGGGGTGCTAGGACTGTCCCAGGCTTGGGACAGCTCACTGTTGTCTCAGAAGGCCTTCCGGATCCCTGGGATTATCAAATGTGCTGGGGCGTGGGGCTGAGAAATAGCTCCGCCTTAAGACCTTGGCTTTAATCAAACGCCACTCAGCCTGCAGCTGCGGGGGACCGGGCTGCGTGCAGGGGTAGGGGGTGGGGGTGTCTCACCTCTCCCTTTTAGACCTAATTGCTTGATGCATATTTCATGAAGGATCCAGGGTAATAGTTATGTTAAATCGCTCCTTTTCATGATGAAATGACTTAAAAAATACTTGCATACAGTATTTATGGAGGGAGGGCAAGGAACAGGCCCAGAGGGAGCCGTGGGTAGGACCCCGTAGAAGAGTCAGTGGGAGGAGGTGGTTTCTGAGATATGTTGGCTAACAGGTGCGGGGTGAGGGGGTGCTGTTTGCCACAGATATCATTGGCCTGAAACCTGCCGGGTGGCAGGCAGCTTCCTGCTACCTCATCCAAGCTGCAAAGCAGCACTGCCAAGGAAGGGCAGCCACCACTGCTTGCAGATGGGGAAAATGACGCTTGGGGAGTGAGGCTTCTGTCCCATGGGATGAGGTCAGTCAGGATTTGAACCTATGTCTACTTAAGTCCTGGGAGTTCCCACCAGCCTGCCTCTGGGTGATCTTGGCCTAAGGGGCAGCTTCCCCAAGGCTCTGGGTCGCAGCTGGCCTGGCCAGTTCCCGTGGGGTCTTCACACATGCCTGCTGCATGGCAGGCTGTCTCTGAGGGGACTTGATAAGGCCCCAACCCTCAGCCATAACTGCCTCCGGGGTGCTGACCCTCCTTCTCTGTAGTCACTGCAATCACACAGCCAGCAGTGACCCAGCGAGGGCCTGTCCCGCCCGGCCAGCGAAGCGAGGCCCAGTGTGCTGGGTTGTGAGCTCCGTGGTGGGCAGAGGCCACTGGGTGTTCAGCCCGAGGAGCTGCTTTGTTCAGGCAGCACTGGTCGTGGGGAGAGCCAGTGAGGATGGGCCGAGGGGCCCCATTAGGGCAGAGCCCCGAGAGCCTCCATGGGGCCATTGTGGCAAGGAGGGGGACCACAGGGATGCCAGTGCTTTCCGAGCCCCTGCCCGTGGAGATGGTTACACCCCAACACCCTCTTCCCACCCACTGCCTCCTGAAATGGACGGCCTCCGGGACTGTGGTGCAGACAAACACCCATGTGTAACGCTGTTAACCCCGCAGACTACTTGACATAGGCCCCAGGGACTTCTCAAGCTCTAAGTCGGCCAGGGGTGAAGGTCTTAAGTAAATCTCGACAAAAGTCACCTGCAGGCACAAAGAGATGCCAGACGCTTGCCCTGTGAACATAGCACTGCAGGTGGGTCAAATCAAACCCATTTTGGGCAATTTTCTCCAGAGAGAGCAAAGCATTGCTAACATGAGGTTTCTTAAGATCAGGGCTAGGAGTATAGGCAGTGAGTCTCCCATCACTGGGGGTATGTAAACAAGAAGCTGGACTTGTGCAGCCCCTCCTAGCACTGGTGCTCTGGTCTACTGCTCAGGCTCAGCTAACC